CACTGTGTGAGTCGGTGTGACATGTTGGTAATTCGAGTTTTCGTTCTTAATGGATATTGACGGAGTCAGTTAACACTTGTACTTTAGAATTATCGAGCACACTGTTGTATCTGTACTAAAAGTGTTTTTTAAACTATTCTTTTTAACTATTAGAAATTTTATTTCTGTGTACAACACTATGATGTTACTATCAAATTACCTTTGTTGTTTAATTTTATACACAGATTCCACACGAAATGTACAAATCGGTTGTTTAAGAGGCTTTTATTAGCCCCATTTTTCTGACTTATATTCGCATGGTGTTTTGTATGTTTTAAGTATAAAGTACACACTATCGAGAAGTTAGACTATACATTGTATACCTACATATGGAGTAGGATATATATTGTACGAAATTAATGATGTTTCAAAATTACTTCAGATACTTGGAAGTAATTATTCGATTTCCTATTTTACCCACTTATGCCAAAAATATTTTGAATAACTTAATATTAATTTATAGGTCTTCTTAAATGTTTGAACTTCCAATTGTAATGGTATTAATAGAAATTTACTCGTTCATTAGTTGCGCTTTCTTCCGAAGTAATCGACATAACATGCATGCACAGTTACTCAATTTTAACATAATACTGAATGTCATAATTGTTAGCTTGGTATGTTAATAATTCGCTTCTATAAATTGCAATTAACAACTCCTCGATTCATGTCCGTTCAATCCATCTTTTTCGTGTAGTACAAAGATCATCAAATTTAATCGCGCGATCAAACATCGAAGCACAGAGAATATATTGTATGTACATCAGTGAAACATGTTCTTTGTATATTTCTTACCGCATCTCTGACAGAAATGCCTGTTAAGCTCGGGTCGACTGTACAATCTGTTCGTATTGCCATTATCCCGATACGCCACGATACGCGTGATACGATTAATTAATTAAAACGTTAATGCGCTGTCATTATCTGCTTGGCCCGTAATGGAGAACGCGCATTTTCTGATTCGCATGAATAGTACATTAGCGTGTTGTGAGAACCCAAACAGCTGCCATTAACGCAGCTTTACGCCTTAATGCACTTCTCACATAAAAGTTCCATTTCATTCCCATTTTTCGGACTCGCTTGTGCCGGATCATTCGATTATGTGAATTACCACGGACGTTAATTTACAATTTGTTAAATGTTTTTTTTATTTCTTAGTAATTTAAATGTGGGCATCAAAATGATAATACTAGCAAGGTAGGAAATAGTGTATAGTAATCTGTGTAAAATTATCTTATAGTATTTAAATGCTAGTATACACATTTACATTCTGCTTCATTGTACACAAATTTTCCATCGACAGTATTCGAATATTAGTAACACAAAACAAAGGATAATCATTACATTGAAAATTGGCCATCAAGTTCATTCACCCTCATTTAATGACTAAACGTGATCCACGTTTCTTGTGATGTGTACAATAATATTGTCTCTATCAAACGTACCATCCTTGACTGCTCTAAATTTTCAAATGGCTGCCAGAAGAATTACATTGAAACAATATGAATTAGTAGTTATAGGTTCTGTAGTTTCACTGTTTATTAGTGATCAACTGTTTTTGTATATCTTGATGTAAAACACGAAATATAACATGTCTGGCTACGTACGGCCTATTTCACTGTGAGAGTCAATGTGTTAAAATGATAGTATCGGAAACTATACAAACATTACAGATTACTCGATGTAAGTATATTAATTATTGTTGATCACGACAGGACGGTGGTCACCGATGACCCTCGACGGGCATTCAACGTGTTAATAAATGTCACGTAAACCCACTATCCTTCCAAACATTAATTCACTCGAATTGAATGATACCATTGAGTATAATATACCGACTATTTTTATACGCCTCGCAGTTATTAAATTTGCTGTCGGCGCCTGTGTGTGATATGTCTACAAAAAAAAAACGTTTCTCAATTACCGTGTCCGGTACGAAAACCAATTTCCTCAATTTGCAATGAATGCGTCTACCCGGACGAGAGAATAGCCGCGCAATCATTTTCAACGGACTCTCGTGCGCGCGCCAGGTAATTATCGCCTCGCGTCGGATGCTCTTTCGTGGTTGATTAATTAAGGGACTAATTAATCAACGATAAAGCCAATGACGCTGACGCGTCATTGAGGTCGAGTTCCGGGCACGACGACGATAGACGGGGCCCCCGATGCAAATACGATACATACATACACTCTCGAAGTCGATTGTGCCTGGCCGATCCACGGGTATGGCTACTTCGTTACCTTAATGAGAATATAAGGCATCGCACTTGTCACGGTGCATTTCGACCCAGTAATGAATTCTCCCCCTGTGTTGTTCCCCTCCGTGATTGATTTGAGGAATTACTTATCGAAGAAAGCCATTGTTCCCTCCGAGGCTTTTATCTTTCAATTTGCATCGCGATACAAAATGCGTCTAGACAACGGGACGTACGGATGATATCGATGTCCGATGAGCTCGAATGAAGATGACTAATCGTATATTACGTCCCTCGGGCATCAGGAGGAACGAGTTTAATTAATTCGTCGATAGGAATGTTCAAATACACAAGTCGGATGTAAAAACTGATTCTCGTTAATGTTATAAGGATCCTTTGTTGAACGAGTTTAATTAATTCGTCGATAGGAATGTTCAAATACACAAGTCGGATGTAAAAACTGATGTTCGTTAATGTTATAAGGATCCTTTGTATTTTAACTAAATGTTTACTGTATGTTTAGTATTGTTTTCAGCAACAGTTCGTGGAAAATTGAAATTGTAGAATCCACCTTTTGTCAGTGGAACTTGGATATTTTTTTAGAAACCCCACGGACCGATACGACTCGGAGGATCGAATTTTATTATCTCGAGAATTGTACGCTCTTGTGAGACTTCAGTCCTCTATTACATCGTTCTTTTTTTACTCTATAATGCACGAATATACCGTTAAAGTTCGTAGAAAATAAAAATTGTGTAATGTACCTCTTGTCGGTGGGACTTACAAAGGAAGGACCCCAACTATCAAACTTTGACTTTAACAGGGTTTTGTAAAATGATAATATACAGGTTCCTAATAATATATGTAAAATGTTAGATATAAACAATTAAAGTTACGGACCTTCGAAATATATCATGAACATAAGTCAGTATTATCGAGGTTGCGTTGGCAAAGTAAAACAAAGATATTTCGGTGAACGGGAATCGATCCCGTGACTACCAATTTACCAGTCAAGCAACCTTCTATGTATTTTTATTATCTTAACTTCTATATATAGTATATCTATCTTAAAGGTACGTAACTTTAATTCTTTATATCAATAAAATTATCGACTGTCTGCACGTAATATTTCACATACATCATTAGAACCCTGCATAATATCATCATACAAAACCCTACAAAAGCCAAAATCGAACAGTTATGGTCCATCCCTCGTTAGACATTTTCTCAGAGTCCCTACGGACCTATACGACTCTGAACATGGAATCTTAATATCCCAACAATTGTACGCAATCCTGAATTCTCAGCCTCGTATTGCATCGTTCTTAAAGCGGAGAGACCCGTTAAAGCAGGACAGAACAAAAGGGAGTCTACTATTGTACAGACCAAGTTTCCCATATCTCATTTATCTAAGACAAATCGCTCTTTCCATTCGCACCACACTTTTCATCACGGGACTGTGTATAAACGATTACGCGACCGTCTGAGTTGACATTACTTGTCACCCTAACGAGGCCATATCGCCAACCCGGTAGTCGTCCCCCCCCCCCCACCTTTCTGTGTGTGTGCATATACTGCCGCGTGCGTTATCGCAAAACACGTGTACTCGATACCTGACCGGCCTGACAATTCGTTCGCGATCGTATAGGAACGAATGTGGCCCGGACCCCGTTAACCGGGGTGACACCTCGAAAAACTAGTCCCAAAATACGCGGAACCAGCTCGAGAAAGAGAAAGAGCCTTATTACTCGGGCTCCCCGTCGCCGTTCCTGGGGGCGACCATATGTCGACCTGCGGACTGCGGATGCCACCGGGTGGTTTTTCGTACTACGAGAATAGTCCCCGGCATCTTATCCACCGACTTTTCTTATGGGCCTTTATTGGAACGCGGGACACGACTGGATTCCGGAGTGTTTTGAGTCTGCCTCTTTCTGTCTTTCTCTCTGTCTCGATTTACTGTTAGATCACAGGGTTATCGTTTAGAGCGAAGATTTAAGTACCTTATATTTATCCTTCTTCTGGTTATTAATTAATTACTGTTGCAACTGGAGTCTTATGAGTACGGATTGCTTCGAAATCTTCAGAACTGATATTGTAATAGAGAGGTTTTGAAAGATATTGGTATTCTTTATTGTAAATGATTCAGAATAGATTCTTTGTGGAAGGACATTTTGGAAAAAATTGTGTTAGTGTAAAAAAAATCGGAACAGGGTTCAAGGGAACCTATGGAAACGATATATCGTTGCTTTATGGTTGATCTACGTGAAGAGACTTAGAGTACTTATGTACACGGTTTTTTGAGTAACGTAGAAAATTTTGGTTACTGTTGTAAGGGTTAATTAATTAGCGCTACAACGTGACCCTTATGGACACGGTTTGTCCTTAAATCTTCAGAATATATAGATATTATAATAGGAACATTTTGGAAGATATTAATAGTTTTTAACCTAAATGAGTCAAAATAGGTCCTCTTTAAAGGGACATTCTTGTAACAGCTCCGATTCTTTTTCAAGGTGGCAGTAGTTCGAAGACATTTAAATATTCACAATGGATCCGAATACGAAAGATAACGTAGTAAAATTTTTACTTTGGTAACGAAGTTTCAAAGGTGTTTCTAATGTTTGTGTAATTATGGTATACAATTTCATTGAAAGGTAAATGAATATCGGTGATCTGGATCGAGAATGTTAAACATTTTCGTATTCGATACTTTTCAAAATCTAGATGCAACGTAAAACTTTGGAACATTCTGTTCTTTATTTCTTCCAGGCTCGAGTTTTGGAGTATGGGGGCGCAGGATGAGCAAAAAGATAGATTCCTTCCGACGGGCTGGTTCCCGCGAGACAATCTGTTCCATTTCCGAGAGATCCGACACCGGTAGCAACAACAACAAATCTATCGCGAACAACAACAATATCACCTCAAAAATGGACAAAACACTGCCAGATTTGAAACTTGACTCCAAGCAAGAAAAGAGAACACCGGGAACGTTCCATAGATCATCGTCCCCTTTCAAATCCTTTTTCATCCGTATGGGTTCCACGGGGATGTTGAACTCCGCGAAGGGTAACAGACGTTCGCAGAACATCGACGACAGACTGAAAACCTCCGAGAAGGAGAATCTGTTCAGAAGTTGCAGCACCAGTCAACTGAACACCAGTCCGACCTACGTGAAAGGTGACGATCCCTCGGAAGGTATCGATCTCCAGATCTCCAGTCGCAAGGACAAGACCGTGTCTTGCGACGATCTAGCGCATCAAAACGACGACGCGTACGACGATCATATAAGCGTCAATTCCGCGTCCCTGTATCCCCTTGGAACTCCGTCCATGGCGAGCTTCAGTCCATGCGACTTCGAACAATCGCGAAACGAAACGCCGATGAGGAAGAGCAGCAGCTGCGACTTCAAGGAAACGAAGAAGTCCAGCTTCCCGTATGCTTTCCTACGATCGAAACTATCCGTCCTGCCCGAGGAACGTCACGGCACGTTCGCGTCGAAAGACGAACGACTATTCAAGACTGCCTCCGAGGAGCACTTCCCTGCCTTGAAGATAGAGGATACGTACACCGGCACCACGACTCTGGGTAGACGACGTTCCAGAACCGGGAACCTGGGCAGAGGGCACGCTGGCAAGTGTCAAGAAGCTTCGACGTCCAAAAGTGGGCGTAACTCGTACGCAGAATTCCGTAAGAGTTCGAGCAGATGTGAGCAAGATAGATACAGCCTGAATCCCAGCCACTTGGAGAGGATCGACGACAACTTCCAGCCTGATGACACAGGTTGCTACAGCTCGTACGACAGTAGCCCGATGTCCCTTAGAGGAAACGTTCACCATCATCATGATCATCCTAGCCAAGACAGAGTGGACTTCGGGAGGATCAACGATTCCAGGTTCTCCGAAACCTCCTCTCTGAACGTAGATCTGGACATGGTGCCCACGCTTAGGAATCACCGAAGGAATTCAGCGCCCAGCGGCGAACAAAGGCTGTCCTCTCACTATGTGAGCTCGAATGAGTCTGGTTACGACAGCGACGGGCCCAGAGGAGAGTCTGCAGCCGCTTCGGAGAACGAGGGACTGAGCCTGAAGTGCACGGATAGCTCGGATACCAGCAGCGTGGTAGACTCTGAGCTGGAGAAACCCATAAGGAGTTCCACGCCCAGTGAATGTCATGATCAGGAGAACAATCACGAGCCCAGGACGAGGGAGAATCATGAAACTAACCGAGTCAGAGCGGGAAACTCTGAGTTGAACGATGGTATCGATGGGCTCAGGTGGCATCAGAGCAACTCTGGTAGACTGCTACCCAGTATTCATCAAACGTACGATGAGGCCGCAATGAATACCCAGTTCCCCGTCTGCGGGAACGGATTGAATGGTTTGCAGTGCTCCTCCACTCCGAAATCCCTCGATATTTCGCCCCATCGGATGAGACTGCAGCAGGATAAGACCAGGTTCCTAAGCGATATCATTCAACCGCCGAAGAGGGTTCGACGGTGTCGACTGGTCCAGCTACATAAAAGGGACCCGAAAGAGAGCTTGGGGATACGATTGGCGCAACAGCGATTAGGGGAACTTCGGTATATCGTTGTGCAGCTGGAGAGCGATGGAATAGCGCATAGGTAGGTGTATTAATCCAGTGTGTCATTCAAGTAATTTATACCTGGACGTCTGAGCCAGAGTGTATTAAGTTCATTTTTCTTTTATTTCCGATGGTAATAATTATTTTGCTCCATGTCGTTTAGCTTTTGACATAATAGTGCGAAAATGATATTAAGTCAAACTGTGGAAAGTTCATCACATAGGGGACTTACTGCAATGTTCATCACGTTTAGAGACTTGTCTTAAGTCCATTCAACAGGTCGAAGATAGCGATTGTTTTTCCTTAAATTCTTACCGAATGGTTCTAAAGTTACAAGGTTTTTGCACTTTTGATTTGCTTTCCTTCGAAGTTTTAAAAGTATGACTTAATACGCTCTAAACTCCTCTACGAGGGGTTTAGATATGATTCCATGGCTAGTTGAGTGGCTGTAATTTTTAATACTCGAGTTAATTATACAGGGTGAGTCGCATAACTTGGCGATTTCAAGTTACTCGTGAATTACTTGTACGAGAAAATGTTTCAAACAACAGGTGTGTGGTTCCAACGGGGACATACATATGTGAGAATAATTTTTTTTGTACATTGTTTGTACATAAAGTTTTCAAGATCTCCTTCGTTTTTTAACATCGGTCGCCCTATATTTTTTTACGGAAATTAAATGAGCATTAAAATGTAAATAAACAAATAATAAGACGTAATAGATCAAAAGTACGTATTTATGGGGATATTCGTAATGAAAGTTTCATTGTAAAAAGTGTTTTACTGAATTTTATTGAATTGCGGATTTTTTTTGTATTTATAGTGTGCCTAGTTCTCCGAAATTCAGGGTATTAAGATAGGACCGTCGACGCAGCAAGAAAATTCGGTTTATTTCTAGTTTCTGTGAATAAATTTTATATAGGCATGAAAATATATTATTCAAGTATAAAAAGCTGTGTGATGGAAATGTTTATTCGAATTGATAAGAATTGAATATGTATAAACGTACAATTTAATAAGGTCAAGGTTTGAATTTAATTCTATAGTTTTATACAAAATAGGTTCTCAATAAATCTGCCATTTTGTGCACTTGATCTCCATTTATAGATTTAGTCATATCGTATAGCAAATTCGCGTAATGTCACATCATGTAGTGTTAGAAAGTTATCCTTCCGATTTTTACGTTTACAAACCTCCTGGAGAATATAATAACATTTACTATTATTCATAATTTCTTATATTTACATATTTCACAAGACCATCGCCAAAAAAACTCACTTGCCGAGACAGATTTGCAATTATACCAGAACCACTTTTACCCAATTTGATTTGGCTTTATACGTATGAAGGTTTCAAATATGTGATTTGATGTTACGATTCATGCAGAAATTTATAAACTTCAATTATTTCAATCAGTAAATTAAGAATTTTGGGTAGATTTGCAACGACATTTTTATCTTGCATTCTATACCCATCATTTATCATCATTTCTAGTAGACTATATCGTTTAAGCAAACTTTAACATTTGGACAAATAAATGTACGGAATTCCTTGAAATTCTGAACGAAAATGATGTTTGTTTTTCAGGGACGGTAGACTGAGACTCGGCGACGAGATCGTCGAGGTCGAGGGTAAAGAGCTCCGAACTCTGGAAAACTTGGAGGAGGTCCAGGATTTCTTGAAATCCTTCACCGGCAACAAGATACGTTTAACAACCGCCTACGAGGAGACGGTGCCCCAGGTGTACGTCAGTCCGCCGACATTACCCGGGGAGTACGAGTACCTGGAAAACGCGAAAAATCTTTCCAACCTGTCGTTGATCGACGGTCAAACGAAGCAGGTCCTGCAGACGGAAAAATCGGGTAAAACCACCGAGGGGAGTGTTCAGTCGACGAAGAGGCCGGACTTTCTGCCGCTTTCCTGCTTAGCCAAGGAACGAAAAGGTTCAGAGAATGGTCTCGAATCAACGACGGAACCGCAGCACTACCTGACAAGGCACATTGCCAAATTCCAGAAGGGTTACGGTAAACCCAGCCTTGGCTTCAGCGTGGTGGGTGGGAGGGACAGTCCACGGGGTGAGATGGGGATCTTCGTCAGAAGGGTGTTCCCTGGCGGTCAAGCTGACGTTTCAAAATCACTGTTCCAAGGTACGGTAAATTGTTTTTTTTTATTTGTTATAATAACTGGTTTGTAGAATAAATATGAAGAGGCCAAGGGAAAAACGATTATGGTCAGAAAAAGTAAAATTTTCAGTATTTGAAAAACAAAAGTTGTGAACTCCTGACTATACAGGATCAAAAATTTAATATTTGTTCCTGAATCTTTTTTTACGAACACTAAACGTTCATTTTCACGAAACTAGATTTTGTTTTCATAGTCTAGACTTTCAATCCATTGAGTTGGATCATGATCATTTTTCTATTGGAGAAATGTGACATTGATCGTTCTTTCTCAAACCCAGTATTCTTTGGCCCCTAATTTTTCTGGCCTGTGTCCATTTCTTCCTATTTATTTATACTACAGTTCGATAGCATTCCCTAAGCTCTAACACATGATACTAAACTCTTAGCTTCGACTTAGAATGGACTACGATCGTTTTTCCGTTGGACTCTTCATATGTCTTGTATGAATTGATTTTTTAGTGGTAGGTCAAACTCTGATTCAGTTTTTCGATAGTTATCATTCTGTTAGTATTTAAGTAAAACAATTACATCATTATTACTATTCCGATTAAGAATTATTTTGAATAGGGTACGGTATACAGGGTGTTAATAAAAATGTGGGGCACCTTCACATGGTGGATTCTACATACCAAACTAACACGAAAATCAAGAAATTGCGTTTCAGGTTTTATTTCTGAGTTATTAATTGTTGAAAATACGGGAAAAATACGCATGAAATACGTTTATCTCCTTAACCCTTAACTGGTGAGGTGGAAATATTGTAACGTGCTACATATTTTATTACACACCTGAGTTTTACATTCTCATGTAAGAAACCATCGTAATAAACAAACATCTCTTTAAGTAGCTCTTGAAAATAATATAATATTCTAAAAATATTCATAGGGTTCCTTAGACCCCCGCCACATCATTTGTTTTAAGGGTTAATTATATGAGGCTTCCAAATAATGTCATTTGTATCGTTCTATATCGTTATTTCGACTACAAAAAAATCTGCACGTATAAACGCTTACTTGATCCACTCACTGTGATTCATAAATACACGTCAATAGTTCAGGGGATAAATCTAAACGCCCATACTAACAATTCTAGTGGCTCCCTGAGATGAAATAGGCTCAGATTCGTCCACGACTACCAACCTCCTAGTGGCTCCCTATAACTTCACATAACAAACTCAAAAAAGCCAAACTCGCCATTCCTCAGCTTTCACAGCCGCTTAACCCTGGCTCGTAACATCAACCATAACTCAAAGACTAAGGTACATTGGACATATTATGTTCATATGACATTTTTTACTTGTTTCGGCGTGTAGATTTACCCTCTGAAATATGAACATGTATTTATGAATCACCCTGTATACAATTACATGAAAACTCACCTGGATACAATACCAATCGATGCACCAGAGGCTAGGTAATCACCCAGGGATCTCGCGATGACCTCCGTCGAGCTCCTTTTAAAGTCTTACGTATCTGGAACGTAATCCCTCTTGTCACCATTCCTTTCTTAACGTGACGCAATCAATTGCGGATTCCTTGTCCGACTGGCGCGTCAGGATCTCGTTCCAATCGACGTTGGCTCTGGCCGTTTCAGGATCAAAATCTAACGCAAACGGCGAACACGACGAAGGAGGAGCGAACGTTGCGACGATGCGTCACGTACGTAGTCGTGGTCGTCGTTGTCGTTTGGTCGTGCATTCACGCCGTGGACACCTCGGACACATCTCGAATCTTTAATCCGACACCCAACGTCGCGTGCATTTCTAAACAGCCAGTTCGTACGGCCATCTCGCCGCCTTTTTTCTTTTTTTTTGCTTCCTTTCGTTCGCCTCGTTTCTCGTTCCCTCCTTCGTCACCGCCGCCACCGCGACACTCTCCGAGCTGCTTTTGTGGCAGCTCGTCGCATGCCACTGAACGACGCTTGCCAACATGTCAGCTTTGTCAGCGCGATCTTTTCTAGCGTTTGCTGGTTCCGCTGCCAGGCACACCGGCGCGGTACCAAGCGCGCGAGGGTAGAACGTAAAGGAAAAGGAGCATCGCTCGGGGACACTTGGGGATTTTAATGAATGAGACTAGTTGAATCCACGTATGGAGGACCTTCTTTTTTTAAAGAGGCGTTATAAGCAGGTGCCCAAAATAACAGTAATTTTATAAATTTTTTTAGGAACAATTCATTAAGTAAAAGTTAATTTTTATTTCAATGAAAGGCAGTTGTCACGACATCATAGAGAACTTTTTTAAAAAGAAAGAGAATCATTAAAAAAAATTAAGTACAAACTGTTCGGATTATGAATAACAATTATAAATGATTAAAATGTGTTTTCGTTAATTGTAACTATTATTGATAACGGAAATTGTTTTAGGATACAAATAATCATTACTGATGATGGAAATTGTTTTTGGTTACGAATAATTGTTATTGATGACGGGAATTTTATTTTGGTTTCCGGTCAACGATATCGCGAACCGAAGTTTCAAGGGGTACGTCTTAAATATATCTCCTGGATGCCATTTAATTTTCTTCTGTTGGTAGATATGCAGCTGAATTTTTCTGAAATTACTAAGGAAATTACATAATAATACGATGTTGAATTTTTAATAAACAATAATTCCGCATATATAATCAAAAATGGCAGTCATTTTCTTCTGTGGATAGATATGTAGCTCCATTTTGTTAGAAATTATTAAAGAAATAACATATAATAGGACGTATATGTTGAATTTTTAATAAACAATAATTCCGCATCTATAATCAAAAATGGCAGTCATTTTCTTCTGTGGATAGATATGTAGCTCAATTTTGTTAGAAATTATTAAAGAAATAACATATAATAGGACGTATATGTTGAATTTTTAATAAAAAATAATTCTGCATATACAAATAAATTTGTTTCTCTTATTTAACAGCGTAAAGGTATGTAACCCCTTAAGAGAGTGAATGAACGAACAACTCGGACCTTTTTTACCGGCTGGAGGAGACGCGTCGCTCCTGCGTTTATGCAACCGGATCGACCGGGCGTTCCGTTATGCAAGCATGCGGCAGGGCGCGTAGAGAAAACCACGGACGTTCGCGTGCCTCGTAAAAAGTGTCGGGAGATCGGTTGAAACTCGAAACGTGTTGCGTGAAACCCGCCTATACATATAACGTGGTGTTCGCCGCCTACCGCGACAGCAGCCCGGAAAAAATCGCGTAGGAGACGAGACGACACGCGTGTCTGCGAAACTCGATTCGACGTTAATGCCGCGGATCGTGGATTCGATTTTCTTACTGCTGGAAACGGCTCGATTGCATCGGTTAAATTCTGCATTTTTCCTTGAATGCGACGAATTTTTGGAATATAATTTCCTTACCAGGCCCAGCTTATAATTATTTAACACTTTGACTGCCACGCAGAGACTTTTACCGAAATGTAAAATACCGGTATTATACCAATATTTTCAGTTGTACCTTCGCCCTATATGTATAACCCTGTATAAGCATATCCTTATAGAAATAAAAAAAATACCGGTATTTATTTTGGTAATATATTGGTTTCGGTATAGCTTTCATGGCATAACTATTTAAACACCGTGAAAAAATTTTGTTTAAAATTAACATATTGGGTGACGTAGTAGTACGTATTTTCAAAAACAAAAATTGAACGTGATTAACGCAATAGTACGTTTTTTCAAAAACAAATGCTCAGAGCGGTTGAAGAACTGGAATAGTAAAAAGTAGGGAAAAATTGCTCTCCCTGTATGTAAAGTTTGACAAATAAAAGTTAGGAAGTAGTTTCGAAATATTTTTAGAACACCTGTAGTTGTATATTTCCAAACAACAAAAATCTTTTCGCCAGCAAAGTATCAGTATCGCAGTATAATTTAAAACAAGACCAACAGCACCTATTCAATAAAAGCATGTGTTTTCGATGATTTATGATTTAGTTCATTTATAATTATACAGGATCGGTATAAAAAAAAAAAATGTTTGTGGTACAAATTAGATCAGGTAGACAGTGCGGCTCAAAATTAGACGAAAATCAAGAATAACGAAATTGGGTTAGGGCTTCGTTTTCGAGAAAATCGAATTTAAAAATTTGTTCGTCTGTTCATTGAAGTCTGTTTCTACTTATCGTCATTGTGAATACATACGCGTAAAATGAATTTTCAAGATTGATTATTTTGAAAAGGAAGCATCGTACGAAAAAATGTTACTCTACATTTTCGACTTACTTTTCCATGTAGAATCTCATCCTTTCGGGTTGTACCACCATTTCGTCAACACCTTGTAGAATTTGCGTATGTTCAGGATGGAAAAAGAATCTGCTGGTCCACAAGGTTATGAACCTTTTCAGACAAAGTATTTAGTAGTTGACGTAGTGGTTTTCGGGACTTATTCACACGTTTTCCATCTTTTCTTTTTAGTTTGGCATTGCAAAGACGCCAAGAGTGTGAATATATGCTGGAAACCAGTCGGAATTCGCTGTGTATCTCGACTGAAAGAATTCTGACTGTTGACAGGTTTAATCTGAACGTGAAGTATCATTCTGCTTATTATAAGAGATACATCAAAGAAGTGGGAAACGGAAAAGTAATGAATGTCGTGTACGGAAAATATTTACAGCTTTTAATTTTCATTGAAAGTCATTTTGGGCGCTCTCTATAGTTATGCTGTTTTATTTAAAAGCAGTTATATGTAAATACTACAGAATTTGTAGGTTTGGAAAATTTGTTAACATTTATGAAATTAGCACTAAAGATCTGAATCCTTATCATCTATTTGATTTATAAAAAAAATAGTTTTCCAACATGACACTCCAAAAACACTAATTACTAATTACTATTATGGAAGTAATAAATTAATTGCGACGTTGTGTTACAATTTCTTAACATCATGGTGGATTTTCTGTGCACATTTTTCACATGAAAGTGTTATCTTATCGTTCATTTTTGTTTCAGGTGATGAAATAGTGAGTTTGAACGGAAAGGTTCTGCGTGGTTATACGCATCAAGAAGTTATCGAGTTGTTTAAAGCAGTAAGGGAAGGTCCTGTCGAACTGGAAATTACAAGGAGACAGAGGTACATATGTGTCATTTAATTTTTATAGATCAGCTATAAATGTCAAAGACATTGGTTTAAATTGCATCGAAACGCAGAAAAGATCATGTATAAATTTGTAGTTTTCTGACTGATATTATTTATTTAAGAAGTGTATAATTTTCAGTTACGTTAATTTATTTGTAACTTATCATTATCTGACATGAATGGAATAATTAGAATTTAATAAATTCAAGATTATATTGTTGTTTGACTGAGGAAATATGTTTCGTGTTTCAGGTACCCGAAACCAATACAAAAATCCGCGCCATGTTGAGGGATAGGCGACGTGGACGAATCTGCCCACCGAAAGTGCTCTTTCGATTTAATTCTAAGCAACGTTACTGTTCGCTGCGTACGAAGTTTTAGGATTCTAGTCTTATCAGAACGAATCTATGATCTTTGATGTTTGTTTCAATTAATTTATTTATCGCGGTGTCGCAGTTGCGTAATATTAAGTTTATTATGAAAATGGTTATTATTATTAATATTATTATTGAACATTATTATTATTAATATTATTATTTTTATTATTATTATTATTATTACTATAAGATTTTATACGAATACGTTACAGCAACGTCAATCCATTGTATGCGAACATTTTTTTTAAATATAGAGGACAATAAAGAGGATGTAATTTTAAGGTGCTGAAGGGTCTACTTTGCAGATGTGCTTTGGACAAGGAACAAACGACACGTCACGTTGAAAAATTATTAAATAATGGTTTTATTGCCAAGTTATCATACAAATTTACAATATATACAGGTCCCGCATTTATTTTTTACAGAGGCTACGGAGTCATCTTTTTACAAAATTCTTCTGATAACAGTACTTTATCACGCGTCGACGAGTAAAAGATCTGCGCACGACTTAGCCTTCGTTACCCTGAAACATAACAATTAAATGGTATTTATATTTATTTCTAAGTTCATTTTTTGTTGTTTAATTAGTGTATATTAATTAGTGATAAATAATAAGACCATCGTAAACTTTTCTCTACAAAATATACGTTTCTACAAAAAACTGGGTATATTCTTCAGTTGTCCTTCGGTGTTAAGTACCTAACTAAAATTGTTGCCGTCAGTGTCTTTTTTGCTTTCCGAAGAACAATAATTTCTAAATAATACACATTGGTGAAAATAATATAATTTGTTCTGAGATAACGATACGACGATTTATACTTCCTAAACAGATAAATCTTCGGAATTACAGTCTAGAAATATTTCACTCCTAATATCACGTTGGGTTATTTTAAAATTTTCCATAATTTACAAACCTTTATGGAGTATAGAAAACGCATATTTTGTAGATCAACGTTTAAGGGTTAGTATATCTAATAAATATATGTATACATATTTATATATGTACAATTTTTGTACTTTGTTTAAATGCATTATAGTATAATTATTATAGGAAAAATTTAATTACAGGAAAAATTTCTTTCGTTAATTATATTTGCATATTCGTATACTCACTGTAATTCCTTGTTCTTCACGCGTCTACAAAGATGCAAGGCAACCGGTCCGGTTTTGATATTACGGAAAAGCTGAACAGCTTTCCTGTGAGTTAAGTCGTGACAGACGTGGCCATTTACTGCCAGAATCTCGTCACCTGCACGCAATCGGCCATCTTCTGCAGCTTGCCCTCCTGGCAACACCGACTTTGTAAAGATACCTGTCACAACGAAACGATAGCAGAATTAATAAAAAATAATCGAAATTTCAAGATAATAGAAACAATGTTCAGACAATATACTGTTTATACATGTTGATCATAATATAAAGTTCATAGTTCAAGTTCTAACACTATGGTAATCTCAAATATTCACTAGACTTCAGGAATTGTTCAATAGTGTTATCAATTAGGATAAAGAGATTCAAACGAACGTTTCAATAATCAAAGTAATATGTTGAATATCTTCAAATCTCCTTTCATTCACATACAGATGGATAGAATTTTATATCGTTGAGGTTAATATCATTCTACAAAAATATTGAACATATCACACGAATAGTATCTGATTTTTTTATATATTAAGAAATTGACTAATTATACACTCTGTAATTCTTCCATTCAACTTAACAGTATCAATTCGGATTAGTATAGCACAGTTCTGTGTAAAGTATTAGAAACTACTTTGGTATTTGCTACTGAAATCCCATTCGCACAGTTTTTTGCGATCGTAAAGTAAACTCATTCCATTACTGATAATATGAAAATTTATCCGTATGAAAGAAAAACGAAAGACTGTCTTAAAAATACACGTTCTGCATGCTTGTCTAGAGTTTCTGCGTATACTTCTGGTGCAAAGAATGAAAAAAAAAACGCTACTCTCATGTCTCGAAAAACGATATTTCAGTGCGCCCAGTCCAGAGTTGGGCACAATTTTCATTCAAATAATACACAGTGAAAAGCAGTAGTATCTAAGACCCTCATTCGGAGCTTTAAACAATTAATGAGGGTTAATAATTGTTTGCCAAGAACCCACTCATTCAAGAAGAAGTACAACTTTATTATAAAAATTGGAATTTTTACGTTTAATCGATTAAAAATGAATAAGTACTTTTTTTTATCTTTCATCCAGTATTCGAAACTATCCGAATAATGAATTTGCTGATCTTTGACCTAGTCCGATAGATTCATTTGAAATTCGCGACTCAACGATGTACCAGAGTTAGGAGAATTTTCTTTCAAATAACGAATAAAGTACAACGAATAAAATCCCACGATTTATTCGCAGAATAACGATTTTACTCAGCGGATATTATCCGTTGGTCACGGATGACGCGTTATTCGTTATTCGTTATTGTCGAACAAATCTTATTCGTTATTCGAAATATATGTATAAGTCCGCGACAAATAACGCCTTATCGTAACCGACCCTAGATCCTTCGTTATCTTTACGCATCTGCCATCACGGAAAGTTTCTTACGAATGAAAATTTATTCATTGGTCGTTGGAAGATGATTGGAATAAAATTTCATTCGTACTTTTATTCGAATACAATTTCATTGGAACACAAATTTATAATTCCATTCGAACTTTCATTCGAATATAATTCCATTCGAATTTTTATTCGAATATAATTCCATTCGAACTTTTATTCGAATATAATTCCATTTGAATTTTTATTCGAATATAATTCCATTCGAACTTTCATTCGAATATAATTCCATTCGAACTTTCATTCGAATATAATTCCAATCGAACTTTCATTCGAATAAAATTCTTATTCAAATAACACCCAACTCTGCTCCGTGGCCACGAAACACACACCGTATTATACACGGTGGTACACGGCCATGTTTGTGGGCGCCGCGCGGCATCGTAACGAGCGCGTAAAACTCGCGGACCGCTTGTATACATGCAGGGGCAATTTATCGACAACGCGTACATCGGTCGAGCAAGCGCGTAAATGTTATGGCAGGAAACCGCTGCCATTTCTAAGCAGCGCCCGGTGCCGCCGCGCATTCAAGATGATATTTTTGCTTGTTTGCTGGGCCTAAGCTTCTGCAAACAGTATACACGTCCCTAGAAGTAAGGAACGCGCGAAGATAAGACGTTACGCAATCCGCGACGATATGATTAAACATTCGATAACGTTCAATTTACGAGAAACATCTTGCACAGTATTCAAATATAGCTGATTTTCATTCAATTCGCAAGATATTTGAAACTGATTTTTTATGAAACTTTGATAGCATTTGAAGTAGCCGAAAATAGAAGATAAGTATTAGGTTGTCCGAAAATTTCGTGCCATTTCAGGCATCAATGTCCTTATTAGCATTTTCCTCGATGAAATGAAAAGGTCGTTTGATATAAATGAATATATACATACACACATTGTTCTCGAAACATACTTTGAATATACGCCTTATGTGAGTTGTATCGTTGCTTTTTACGAGAGATACGAGTAAATATGTATTTAGTCACGCGTTATATTAAAAGTGTGAAAAAACCCATACTGATTTGTTTGGAAAATTTTACGGTATTTACGCTATTTGTCATAGTTTCAAGAGGATCATTTATTTTGATCGTGGAAGAATTCCATGTTAGGACAAGACATTACTAATTTTTAAGTATCTTTTATTTCCGATTATTTTAACAAGTTGTAAGGTTTGTAAAACTTAACTGCGTCACGTTGTAAATATTTTATATAAAACGTACTCTTATCGTATCGTTTGGAATTGATTCATAATATGTGATTGACGATCTTTTAGGTCAATTTTATTTTTTGGTTTGCCAAACGTGTGTTAAGATTCTAAACACAATCGAATAATGTTCAATTTCCTAGAAATATTAGTACATTATATCCTAAATCCCACTTTTAAATAATTTCGAATTAAGTAATTATTATTAGGTAGCTATATAATTTACTACAGTAGAATGTTGAACAACGAATAGCGGTGATGTTGTTAATGATGCTTGAGATGAAATGTTCCAGCTTTTTAAGAAACAAATTTATACTCAAATTTTATAATGAGTAACGCGTTGAATATGATATCGAGATTAGTGTGTTGATGTTAACTAATCTCGAAATTAGCAATAAAGATTAGTGTTTGCTTCGTATTAATTTGTTAATGTTGACGACTTTAGAATTAATATTTCGTTAAGTAAAAATAATAAACCAACCCTTTTTAGAACGAACTGTATATAATGCCTAATTGCATTAAAACTGATATAGAATTAAAAGTTTGTACTGCGTAAAAATATTTAATTAACGATACGAGTAGACTCAACAAGAAAATGTTATAAAAACGTTGATCTATAAATGTATCCTTGAAACATTGCGATCATGATTAAAACAATAATATTCTTTGTTCTCAATCGATTTTCGACCATTGCCATTGTACTTTCGATTAGAAACTCCACAACTCCAGAAAAAAAACAAACATTTTCCAGCAGGGCCTTCCCTAAATTTCCCCATCTTTATTACATAAGTTTCAGAAAAAGTACTTCCATGTCTGCATTCATACAAATAATATTTTTTTCTTATATCCACTCGCAATCAAACAATATATCAATATAAGTTGACAATTTAATTTAAGGACACCCTCTATGTTACTATTAATTCTGCAATACGTGCATTTTACAATGTACTTAAATCCGTTAGAGCCAGAGATTGACAAATTCATTATCTAAATAAAGAGTTTCCAGTAACAAATAAAAAATAAAGTATTTCGCTATTTTTAATTGATCAAACATATAAATTCCAATTTTTATAGTAAAATAATATTTCTGCTTGAATGAGCAGATACTTCACGAATAATTATTTAACTTCATTAACTATTTAAAGATCAGGATAACAATCTTAGATATTGCTACTTTTGATCGTGTATTATTCCAATAAAGTTGTGCCCAACTCTGGTCAGAACTAGAACCCCTATCATAGTCCTTTTAGACACAACAAAACCCACAAAAGCATCCATTAGTAGAAAATCTCAGTAGATTAATAATTTTCAGTATTACACAACCCTACACGCTCACTCTCGTCCATTACTATCCGCATTGTACAAACTTTACTAACTAAAAACAATTGAAAGGCACACGTGACTCACCGATGCTTCCTTTAGGACTGTCGCTTCCGCCAACAATGGTGAACCCCAGTGACTTCTTTCCGGGGCCTTTCTGAAAGACAACCGTCAGGAACGTCGAAACAGTGTTCCTGGGTCTCCTGGGCAGAGTACAAAAATTCGAAACACTCTGCGATCCGCTGTTATCCACATTCATAACCGATTTCTCCGATGAAATGGACCTATTGCAATCGCTTCTTCTATCACGATGATGTCTGGTTTGGTGTTTCCTGAAGTGGGATCTGGGTGAGTTCTCGACGATAATCCCATGTCCATTCTCCATATTCACGTTCTCATAATCAACACTGCTCTCGGTTAGCTTCTTAGGAGATTGGTCTAAAGCAGAATACCTGGAGACAACAATATCCACTTCCCCAGGCCCGCTACCACTGCCAAGGATTTTTCTAGCCTCCGCCATATTCAATCCCCGAAGTCTTTTCCCGTTTACAATCAAAATTTCATCGCCTATCCTCAAGGTACCCTCTTTATCCGCGAGTCCATTAGGTACCACATGCGCTACCAGGTAGCCTGGACTGGACTCCGCGGTCTTGGCTATGAAAATCCCTAAACACTGATCAGAATTCTCCCTGGAAAGCTTCACTACCATCGTTTCGGTGATGTATGGCCTGTTTCTGATAACGGCCAACTGGCCACCTTGGTAGCTCTCCGAGGAGTCTTTACTCTCCAGTCTCGTGACGACGTTCTTCCTGTCGGGTAGCTTGTCCTTTCGATCCTGTCGATCTATTAGCTCGCTGTTCGCTGCTTGGTACAGCTGACTCGTGGTGTCTTCGAGCGCGTGCAGCCTGGACACGTCTCGTCTGCAACCCTTGCCCTCGTTCCTGCTGCAATAAACGTCCAAACTGGAGAACAAACGTGTCGTCCTTTCGACATCCACGATCGAGGACGAAGGCTTCCTAGGTGGTAGTTGTGGCGGAGGATTCGATGTATCGTTGATACCACTCAACAATCCTGAAGCACTGCTGCTGCATCTGTCGTCTAGGAGGGAACTGGTCGCGGAGTCGTTGTCCAGAATCCCAGAATCATTGTCGTCCTGGTCCTGTTCCTCGTAAAGAGGATTCGTTCGAAGTTCCTCGAGGCCAGGCAGAGCACCGTACGAGAAACTCCTCAGTCTTCTTCTTTCTCGGTCCTTGCCGTCCTTCTTGTAGATCTTCGCGATTAGCTTGCTGGTCGAGCTCTTCAGGTACCTGTCCTGCATCGCACGGAACTTGGCTGCCAGGCAACTGGACGGTGTTATGCTGTCGAACTGAGAACCGTCCTTGTACGCCTGGTCCTCTAAACCCACTGGAACTTCCAGATCGTGGCTCATAGGCCTACCGGAGACATGATAATCCTGAACGATCTCTTTGCTTTTGCGCCATTTGTGTTCCACTTGGTGATCGACTGGTTCCTCGATGACGTCCTTCTTGGGTAATCCAGGTGGTTTCTGGGCAGAGGTACGAAAACCCAAAAAAGAGAAACGTTCCTCCTGATGTTTTTTATAGGGTAGCCTGCTCTGAGACTTGGAGCGTCGTTTTCTTTTAGCTTGTATCTTCTCTTCTTCTATGATCTCCTTCAAGTCTGACTCGCAGACGGACCGTCGAAATTCGTTCCTGGACAGGCCGTGTTGGCTTAACTCGCACATGGAACGGAATTGCATCTTTTCTGGATCCTCGTCATCTTCTTGGTCCTCTTCGTCGGAGTCACGGTCCTTGAAGAAGCTCAGCCTGGTGTTTTTCACACGGTCGAGGATCGGATTACGTTTCTCGCAGACTCTTCGCCGTTCCTCTTGGATTCTTTTCTTGTTTTTCTTGGTGGGACTCCGCTCGGTCGTCACTTGCGACGTCTGCACGTTGTAACAGTTCCTCTCTGATTCGGAGCTCGAGGACTTCCGGCGAGCCCATCGAACTGGGGACATGTCTGTAACGAAAAATAGTGCGTGTTCGACGATGAAAATTATTTTTTGTATGGTAATTTGGTTGTTTTAATATTTAAATTTTGTAGTGGAGTAGTCATGAAGATGATGATTTGATAAATGAATTGAAAAATTGAAGTGGTCAATAGTTTAAAAATTTAAAGGGGTTCAGCAAATATTATTATCAGAATTGAACGGGAATTTATTTCGTGATTGAATAATAAATAAGAAAACAAAATTATTCTTATTAGAAAATCTATAAAATCTTAAAACATGTTACACGTTTTTTACCAATCTAAAAGCAGATACAAAATAAAGGATAAGCCCTAATTATTGAAAGAAGTAGATAGCTTACAATTTACTGTATTTTAATTGGACTTTGTAAATATTGATATACATTCAGCGATGTGTCTGATTCAATGAAACACCAAGTCTCATAAACACTTCGACGTCGACAACTCACAGTTTAAAACCTGACACTTCACAGCAGCAAAGTACTCCATAACAAATACTACGACAACTTCTTTAAAAGAACGTGAACTAAGTTAACAAAGATATGTCACATTTCATCGATGATTCACCTGACGAACTTTAACAGCGTACTCAATGTGCAAATTACATTTGAACAGATGATGAATGCCCACACTGTTCTTCGACCGATCCACGTTGAACGTCGAGCCGACGCACCACACGTTCGCCATCTCCTCGGCGAGACTTCACGGATACGAACGGGTCAAAACTTGGTCTAACAGTGACAGCCACGACGAAAATGATCGTCTTCCGCGAAGCGTGACATTATATGAGTGCTTCTCGAGACGGTCGTGCAGGATGTGTGTAAGGCAGGACATCCCGTGTGAGCAATTCACATGAACATGTTGCTCGAGTGATAGTAAAAATAGTAACAGGGGGGACGAAGACGACATGGCGTGGAAGTAGTGACGCTGTGAATCGAACGAACGAATCGGAAGTACGAAGTGACCCGGAAACATATCTGGACCCCAGAGTCAGAGTGTATTAAGTCTACTTTTTAAAAAAATTGTACATGTTTCCTGTATCAAATACTTTACTTTTTCCGATGGTAAAAATTCTTTTGTTGTAAGTCGTCTAGTTTTTAATATGGGTACGTAATATTGTAAAAATGATATTAAGCTCATATTTTTAAAACAGTGTCGAGGTCGTCGCATAGGGAATTGAATGCAACATTCACCATTTCTACGTATAGAGATTTGTCGTAAGTAGATCAATAGCTCAAAGGTGGCGATTGTTTGTTGCTCAATTCTTACCGAACGATTCCAAAGTTATAAGGTTTTTGCACCTTTGATTTGCTCTCCTCTAAAGTTTCAAAAGTGTGGTTTAATATACTCTGGCTCTGGGGTCCAGATATATGTATTTCTATCGCATGGAGAATATTGAAAATGTGAGGTGAGTAACAAAGGTCATGAAGCAACGGAAATGAAGAGGGATTCCTTTTAATTTAACTTTCTAACTGGTGATAGTGGGGGTCAGGAACGCTGGGAATATTTTTAGAAAATTTATTTTTTTTTCAATAGTTACTTAATGAAATAAATTGTCTATTTCGTCATTTTCTTACATGAAAATTTAATGCTGGGACTAGTTATGTAATAAGTCATAAGATATTCACCACACCAGTTAAGGGTTAAGTACAATATTTTGCTTTTTTTTACAAGCATTAATTCGTAATCTTTTTCAGGTTTTTAATTGATCACTTCCTGGCGTGGACTTTACTACAATGAATACTAAATGGAAACATCAGAAAAGGTAAGGATCAGGAAAGTGTAATTGCATAAATAATACCTTTATACCTTAAGATATGTTGCAGTAACATGCGCAGATCCGATATGATTTTCAATGATCCTTAATAACTTGATTAAGCGACTAATTAGTAGTTTATTAAGTTAAAAAAATTATGTTATTGGAAGTTAAATAACGTAACCTTACGCCACAATAAAACTAATAACTTGAAATAAGTAAGCTTATTGTGTAGTTATTATATAATTTATAATACCTTAACTTACGTTACCTGTTACAAATTATTGGTCTTACTGTGGCGGTAAGGTTTATTCGAAATGGTACCAGTTGACAAAATTTCTGTAATATACCACATTTCGAAAAGTCTATAATTTCCAATTATAGAAATCCGAATTGCTATAATTTCCACGCGTTGAATTAAAAGTAGAATACATATACAGTATCTTATAATATTATCTCTTTCAAATTTATCTACATTTTAAAAATGGTTTAATATTGTTTTATCGCATGAAGTGTAAGTTTCAATTTAATATACAAGTAGTGACCTTGCTTGATAACCTTCATTTATAGAAAGACTTCTGATACAACTTGATACGTGTGAGTAAAATTATCAACTTAATATTCGTATTAAGAGGAAATCTATAATTTCGAATTCAAATGTAAATTGAATAACTTCCTAGAGAGGATAAAGATCGAAAACAAACAAAAAAATAGAAATCATGGAGGTATAAATAATTTAATGGAGCATAAGGTAGCCGACTTAAAAGTCATAATCTCGTAATAACATTTCAATGTTGCATAAATACTCGACAGCAGTGAGTACTTACGGTCCGTCTAAATATCGGAGCGAGTTCAGGGAATTACAGGAAGTGAGCTCCGTTCGATATATCTGTGTGCTTCTTGAATATCGAAGGTAATGATGGACAGCGTTTGCCTGGCGTTACACGGTAAATAGACCTGGGGGTTAGAAAGGATCGAAGAAAGCGTCTCGTTGTATAAAAAGAGTGGACATCGCGCTTCTGCGGTAAATGTAACATGACAACGCTGATGGATGAGAAAAATGGAGAAAAGAACGATTTCACCTGCGCGGCTAGGTAATTTGGTTAAAACGGGACCGTCGAAACTTCCTTCCTGCATTACAAAATTGAAAACGATTCTAGAAAAAACAAATTTAATAACCGTAATCAATAGTAAAGAAATTGTAGGTGATGGAAGTTTCTGGAGACAGAAGTGGAAAAAATTCACTGAAGTATTAATATTACGTGAGGTAAAGAATGATGTAATTACTGTATAATATACCTATTTCCTCGCACGAAGGCAGGTGAAATTAAGAAGTTTTTATCTAATATAATAACCGTAGGAGGAATACGTTGTAAAATCTCTAAAGATATTAAATATTATATTATGTGTAAAAGTGTAATAAAGATATTAGGAATTGTGATTATTACACGATAGTGAGATTTTAATGTGTAACAAAGTCTACGTCCATAGAGAAACCATGACTTGGATAATTTTATAAGTATTAAAAATTTGGGAATTTCAAAAATATCAATATGTACCTACTTGGCGAAGAAATATAATTTAATTATTTGTATAGAATTTTTGTGGCAGTAAATGAAAAATCGAGAAATCCATCCCAGCCAATTCGTGAAAAGTTAATTTTTCATAATTTCAGTTAAATCATTTGAATGAAAAGAGAAATATTTTAAACGCCGCCATTGTACGTTGTACAACGTTCAATTAGAAACGTGACTCTTTTCCACAGTATTTTTTCAGTAACTTCTCAGACGATGTTGTTGAATAATTCGCGGTTTGCTTGTTTGCAAAAGGCTCACCGTTATGACACGGTTTTACCGTCAGTCTTTCTTGTCGCGAAGAAACTCGCTGAAATTGAGATAATGTCGTAAACTGAATGCCAACCAACTCTGTTACGAACTTTTTCTTTAGTACTCGATGTGGTAGTAAAGTATACTTATTGTTAGTGATTATAGATCTAAAGAAGCTTGCGGTCTGTATTCGGTGCAATTTACTTACGAAATAAATCACGAAGAAATAGAATACAAAAAATATGAATTAAGATGAGAATCATAGTCTTATTCACTGTTACGCAAAATATTCCCAGAGAATCGCTACAAAAAAAATTAAGCTTCTAATAATCTGTTTTCGTAATAATCAATGTTTCGTCCATCAATTTCGATTGGAATATAACAAAAATGTGCAACTATAGAAAAACCATTACTTGGTAGTTTATAATTATAATATGTTAGTATAGTTTAATAGTTTCAACATATTTAAAATATTAAAGCATCTATGTTTTCTTTAATTTCTTCCGATTTGAATATAATAAAAATCTAGATCTGATAAACTATTTCCCGATACATAATTTAATAACATATTTAAAATATTAAAATTTCCATTTGTTCTTTATTTTCTTCACAGAATAGTCGTTTGATTCATCGTATTGATGCTATTAAAACAAGACCGAATAATTATTCTTACTTGATCTATTTCAATATAATTTGAATGAAGTAAGGAAGGTAAATAAAAATGAAAGCGTAAGGTCAACGGTTTCGTGGTAACCTAACGTTACGTTTCACACCAAAAACCGCAACGATGTTGTCATAGACATTCACAGAAATGCGCTGAGTAACGTCGCGGTTTTCCGGTGAGGGTGTTCATTCACCGACAAAACGTAAATACACAGAAGAATTCACGGCACCGTCGGTACAGACGTAAAATTGTCGGTCCGAGAGAAAAGCGTGTGCTAATCTTTAAACTATTTCTCAATATTATCGCTGGCACTGTTGTAAGTTATATATAAAACTGATTCAATTTAATAATTTATTAAGCGATTAACACTGACCACATCGTCCTTTACGATGTTTAATAGTAAAAAGTAAAAAGAAAAGAGTTCAATAACATAAATATATTGCCAGATAGCAAACGCCTTGAAGACGCCCATTTTACGGCTATTTTAGGTCTGAGGCACTTTTAAGCCGTCAGTTAGCCGTTTGTGTGCTATCTGGGTTAGGATCTTTTACTATATTAATTAGTCTACATGGTAATTGATATAATCTATATTCTAACATTTTAACAAATAAATTTCCATGCGCGATTACTGGACTGCGGATGAATATGCATTTATAGCACCCCTTAACTTGGAAAATGCAATAAAATGAAGACATTAGTAAAGTTTCTAATCCACAACTCACAATTCTGTCTGATTTGAATTTTTAGATATTAGTATTTAAAATTGTGAATTTGCATAAACTTTCACAGTCTAGTGATTACTTCCTCGTATTCATTTTTAGAAGATCAGTAAACTTATAAAAGGTGAACGTGGTCAAAATTTCTGAAGGGTGATTCTGGATATCAAAATAAAACGAAAATCAAGAACGGCGAAATTCTGTTAGAGTTTGTTTTCAAGTTGTTAAGAATCGAAAATTAGGGTCAATAACGCCTGAAACCAGGAAATCAGCGTACAGACTGGGTCCTGTGAAAAATAAATACGTCCTTACTCCTTATGCTATGTACCTTTCCTTTGTAGGTATAATATATATATTTATATAATCCCAACATCTGCAGGTCACTCGCGATCGTTGCCTACCAAAGAGTAGGTAGTCTATATCCACTCGCAGTTGACATATTTTATTTTTTGTTCTGTCCTTTACGTGGGACTCGAGTAACGTTTCCTTAGTTCGATGACACTCGTCGGCGTGAACACATCTAGTCGGTACGAAATAACCTTCGAATTATTGTATAATATTCATTTAATTAATTTATTATAGTGAGTTTTAGTTTAATTGTTTATTTAGAGCGTATTCTGTGCGTGTGTGATGTAGTGTCTCCTGTGGATTTAAATAAGTAACACGGTTTAATTTCGTGCAACGATTCGTGTATGCTTCTTTGCATGTAGTGTCGCAAGAAAATATTCCAGACTAAACGTGTGTTTTTTTATGCCAGTATACATGTCGGCACTGTCGTGTTCTGCTCTTACCGGTCGTAGGCGGATTGCGTAGTTTCAGGCGTTTCTGTTCCGAATTTTGTACTATTAATTAATTTGGAAACGAAGCTTCCAATGCAATTTCGTGATTCTTTACTTTCGTTTTATTTCGATACGTAGAATCACCCGTTAAACTTTCTGACACAAGTAACTGTATACTCTGCAATTGTTTTCCAAGTAACGGAATTGTTTGTACGTAAGTAATAATTTAATATATATATATATATATAGTGTCTACATTTTTTAATATTACATTAGATAATGAAGTATAATTGATATTTCCATACTTTGTATTTCGTGTGAATGGATACACATACGCTACCACAATGTCAAGTTAATTAGTTTGAAAAGAATTCAGGGTCCTATTTCAATATTGATATATCAGAGGATCGCAAACACGAAGAGTAGATTGTAGAATAGGCAAGAAACAGTGAAACCGAATTTTATTTAACGAACCGTTTAAATTAATTTCTCTGTCTTCGAGATCAATGGAAGTAGACGCTTCATTTGAACATGGTATGTATGCAAAAAGGCTCTCGTAAAAAGAGATTCTCACGGAACCGACTAGACTACGCAAAACCGACAAACGAAATGGCGGCTGTCGATGAAATTCTTGTGTTTCGTACAAGATAAAGCGCATTTCTGTTGCTAAGCGTAAAAATGGCGTGTCACGAGACGATTGTTGACATTTTTGTATTCACTAAACAACGTATATATCGGTTTTTTTTCGAACAATAAGACTTTTTAATTCACGAGCCTTTAGTCAATGTAACTTCTTGACTCGCAATATCGAGATAAAACCTCGATCTGTAGATGACGTTAACTAACAATTTACTACTAGAGATTTTGTAATTTCTTAATATTCTTAGAACAAAAGAAATGCATTATAAAAGAAATCAAAAGCTCGTGTTACCTCAACGGGATATTATTCTTAAACAGGTTACAGTTATTTTCGCAGTGCAAGATTTTTTATTTAAATCTCCATTCACACACCGCCTTTCAAAAATACAGATTTCTCATTGATAGGTGAAATAATAACGGAATAATAAATTTTTGGGTCAGTGTTCCTTTCCCACGACTAGAAAGCTGCCGGTTAAATTTAGGAACAGCAGATAAAAAAGTAGTTGTTTTTCATTTCATCGTTAAATGTCGCCAGTTACACCACAATTAATTCTGAAAAATTATAATTGCTTTCACAACATCAACAGTTGTCATGTAATAACTTCTTCAATTTCGGCGTTGTACGCCTAATAAGGAGTCTTAATCGGGGTAACCTTAAAATAGAAACCTTATCGTCATTGACGTACCTCCAATCTACTATAAATTAATATAAACAGATTTTAAGAAGTCGTTAAACAACGACACACCACAATTTTGTATATTGTTTCATGTAGCTTGTTAGATGTATCAGATGTAATTTATTATATTGTAAATACTTGAATATTCAATACGTTTGTATATTTATTCGAAGGATTTCGGAGTATCAGTCGTATGTTATTCACTGGATGGGAAACATTGTGTTCGGTTTTGTATTCGCGGCGGGTTAATTAACGGCAGGACGATCGCAATTCGGATTATGAAAGTTAACGTCGCATCCTGTTTTTCGCATTGCGGTAATTGTATCGGTGGGTTTCTCACGATTCTTACCTCTGTACTGAGACGCGGCATGAAAGTGGTAAGATGCTCCGTCAAGGTCTTCATCGGCTTGAAGAGGACTTAGGCTCAAGAGTCTTGGCGCCTCGGCGTGGCCGCGAAACCAACGCATTTCTGGAATAAATGTACAATAGTTTCATCATCATACTTTCGTTTCTCTTGTCGTAGATATACAATTAAAGAACATCTTTCGTTCTAAAGAATCGAACGTAATTTCATATCCGAATTGTTACTCCTTCGTGTGTATACTAAATGTAATACCCCTTCGATCGATACATTAATTTTTTCATGAAAACGTAACAGTGACATTAACGTGCATTTTTCTTTTTCCTAAGAAGTTAGATAGAAACTATTGTTCAGTGAAAAGATTCTTTTAATAAACCACAATTGTAATTTTGTTCTTATTTTATTAATATCAGAATTATGAAATTTTATAGTTAGAATCCAGGTTTTACCCCTAGTCTCCCCTGCAGGTACAGGGCGAGTTATTCAAATCGATCCCCTCGAATATCTTCGAAACCATTGATAATATCAAAGATTGTTTCAAATAAAAGTTTAATGGTTTCGTGATGTAAAAATAATTTGATATGAGTAGTTTTTTCCCTAAGTGGGCGGGTAGAGAACACACGAAAACCAAATTTGTTTGTTTTTTTAATAGAATCATATTTTTTTAACCCATTAATCGATGCAGCTCGCCATAGCCTATAAAAAATATTCAGCTATTTATGCCGAAAAACCATTAGTTTAAAACACGTGGTCCATCATCCGGACTTAACCCCATAAATCAGTGACATCTGATCAAAAGAGAAAAAGTTAGATACGTACTGTGTAAGTTCTTCAATGACTGAATGTAATTATTTTAATGACCGTAGACGTTTCCTCGACTCGTAAACGCCTCGCAGTGAGAAATCGAATGAAAAAGGGTTAGCGAGTAAACGAATGCCGACCGATTTCGAAGCCGCACGGCATCGTTGCGTGCAATTCTCGGCCGAGCGTAATAATAATATCTATAAAAGTGAAACGGTGCTACACACTTGCGCGGTGAATGGATTTCGCGTGAACGAACGGCGACAGTTTCCGCTGTGATCGCTGAACCGAGGCCATTTCTTTTTGCCGCGTCGGTTGCACTTGTTCCTGATACCAAGCAGCGTGAAGCCCGAAAGAGAGGGGTAAGAGAGAGAGAGAGAGAGAGAGAGAGAGAGGGAGGGAGGGAAAAGAAATTAGCCCTGATAATTTAATGATCAACAACCTTGAAGAACGTGGCAGGAGGCAAAAAGGAAGGATGTTATAAATTACATACTTGTCGTTTAGCGCGTTCATTGTCACGCTCGATTGTCGAAGAGCGATCGCAAAATCGGTTTCGTTACGCGTGGGAAGGTCAACGCGTGTTGCGAAAGAAGGGAACGCTTCGGTGGCTCGGACCTAGCTGGGCAATTAAAATCGAAACCTGCGATTGATTGGTCTCGGTGAACAGAAATTAAAAATCTGAACGAACTCTTTACCGTTTTTGGTGGAAAAAATGTATCTGTGTGTACCAGAAAATATTGCAGGCTTCAAGAAATTCATTTATTAGGCCTCAAGTTCATTAAAAAGTAACTTCAATTGTTAGGCAATCGTGATCTATATTCTGAAATATTTTCTGGGACATCTTAATACTACGAACGTTCGGGTTTCTGTGTTTCGACTGATTCGAAAGCAAAATCGTTGTAAATCAGTATTCTTTAATTAAAAATCCACAAAGTGGAACTCGGTCGAACAATTTTAATAAAACTACGTGGAGTTATACAACAAATAACAACTTTGAACACCTTTCCCGAAATAATTCCGTGGGAAATAATTAATAAAATTGTTTATTGTCGTGCGATCTTAATGAGCGAGTTCCACTTTGTGGGAAAAAGTGTTTTGTAGGTTCAGTTAAAATTTCAACAAGAAATATCGATCCGTTCTCGAGTTACGATGTTCATCATTTTGAGAAACATAGTTTCGAGAAAAACGCGTCAAAGATTTGGATACATGTGTACCTGCATTGGTCCCGTCGTCACTTCCTATGCTCTAAATTCCGTAACTTTGCGAATATTTCAATGAAATGTTTTTTAAAAATATTCCTAAGACTAAATTTGGCTTTCATAAACAATCAAAAGAAATTTCGATTTTTTGAACCCGAAGTATCTATGCACCCCCTTAATCAGCAAATCGTCTCGATAAGGCAGCAGGCTGCCCTCTTACGCGGGCATTGAAGTCTCCGATCCAGAATCGTAGCACCAGCTATCACGTCGCGTCGTCACAGTGGTACCGTGTACCTAAGAATCGCGGAAAAAACCTCATAACTTTCGTATTTCTCAATATTTTTGAACACTTCTTGTTTTATACAATTCCTTGCTAGCCAAGCTTTATACAGACAGTAATATTAAAAAAAAACTAAGACATACATTACAAATAATATGATAATAAATTCCGGAAATATACGGTACAGACAAACCAAAATAAGATTAAATACATAAACTATTCGAAACAGTACTAGTAAAAACGTGTAGAAACGTGTAGCTGTTTTAATATATAAAGTATATTATAATTTTCGTTATTTGTAAAAATGGTATTTGTGAAACAATACTCTATAACTACAGTAATATTAGCCCCTTCGTCGGGGTTAGTATAAAGTTTGTCTTTCAACAAGATATATAGGGCAAGGATTATTCGAAAATATTGAAAAACATAGAAGTCCCGAGATTTTCCGTAAGGTACACGCATAGGTATAGCGCGCATTACTGTTAGGCGCAGCGACACGCATCAGTAATTTATTAATAACTGCCAAGGTTGCAAGAAGTTGCAGCTAATTTTTACACGACAAATACCTAATAGTATGCATTTGGAAACACTACTAGTAAGAACGTGTAGAAACGTGTAACTTTTTTATATGTCTAAGGCCTAAGGAAATCAACGTGTATTACCGTATTAGGTTATGTTTCTTTCGGGCTGTATTATGTAATTTTGGCTGAGTGATTTCAAAAAGTATTTATGTCTTCCACAAGCTAAGACTGTAAACATTCATAATATATGAAACAAATATTTACATATATCTGCAAAAAATCAGTATAACTATAGGAAGTCGGGTTAGAAAAATGTAAGCTTCCAGTAAGTGAAACATTGACAGACAGATTGGTTCATTAGTTATCAGAATATACCGATAATATTTATCAAAATCATACTTTCAGAAATTAGGGTTTTCACGTTTCGTGGTCCACCCTGTACACCACAAGGATACAATGATCTCTAGCCAGGATTCAAATTTCCCACCGTGAAATTTTCCGAATCATGTTATACTAGCCAAACAAATTTTCGATCGAACAGCTAACAATAGAATAATCTAATCTGATCACGTTTCGTGGTCCAGGATTCAAATTTCCCACCGTGAAATTTCCCGCCACTGTTTCCCTCCCGTGTCGAGCATGGAAAAGAATCGCTAGCTGTGACGCGAAGAGTCCCGTTTCCACGAGACGGTCGCATAATGGGATGATTAATACCGCGGCGTTGAGTTATGCAAGGTGTTAATGCATCGATTATGTACACGCAGGGAGGTACAAGTGCATCCCAGACGAGAGTAGGGGCGGTGACTTTCTCTGATGCAAATATGTGTGCCATCGGCGGCTGGCGGCGCGCCTTTCCGACAACGGGCTCCCACGACGATAGCTTTTCACTTTTCATTCAGACAAACCGGTGGACACCGAAGTAGGTATGCACCTTATGCCGGATCTGGGACCCCCACGATCAAGGATGCCCGTCATGGAAGTTCTAGGCCGTGAACTCGCGTTGCTTTCGAGAATGGAATTCGTGCACACGTGAAAGTGTAACGCGTGGTGAATCGATGGTTGCTTCGTATCACATTCGAAATTCAATTTAATTGGCGGATAAGGGTAAATTTATTAGAGATTTATGCCCGACAACCAGATCAATAAAATATTCCCTAACAACTTTCTATGAAGGTTTATCAGCGCATGAAAATGCGACGAGGAGTTGTTTACATTCAGTGATACTTGTCATCTATTAAAATTGATGATGTACGTGCACGAACAGGTGTAGAAGAAAAAGAACATTAATTGTGCAAGTGACGCGAGGAAGTTAACTGTACAAGCTATTAAAAGGTGAAAACAGTTTTCTTGGAAGTCTTCGACGTAACAATTTCATTTTTATATTCTGGTGACTATTGGATCTCTGGAAATGTGTTCTCAGTTCCATCTGTGTGTACTCGTAGTTTCAGAATTTAATTTCTTTTTCTTTAGATTCATCGATTATTCCAAGTGTGACAACTTTCAAATCAAGTTCGAAAATTGAATAGGACTCAGAACATTTTCTGATATAGATGAGACTATTTCCGTAGAGTCAATGAACCTGGAATTTAAAGTCACACTTGAGAATTTTTAGGGCTTAGATGGTTTCAATGTGTTGCTTGGAAAAGTTTTCGTTTTACATACTTTGAAACTTTGTTGAATCGTTCATTTATTATTTTTAAAACATTCCATGTACTAACATTAGGTTATACCATACATACACGAAATTTTCTATTACTTTTAATTTACTATACACTTTATATTACAATTACTTATGCTACACTGCAATATATATTATATGTATTACTATATTGTACAATTTAATTTAGTATACATTCGATGCTAGTAGTTCTAGCATTAATTTTGTTTTAGATATCAACACAACCTTGAGTTTCTTCAAAGTCAATGCATTTGTTTTTTAATACCATCATGCTATAGGTTATTGAATTCGTCCTTCTGTAGACAACAACGCGGTATTAAAAACAGATGCATTGACTTTGAAAAAACTCAAGGTCACCATGATATCTAAAAAAAATGAAATATAAGAAAATCAAATTATATCCATCAGATGCATCCTTCACAATGCTACATAATTCATTAAAACGTTTTCTAATACAATCAACAGATAACGAATTATTTTCGATAGTAGTTCTCATTGGCTCACCCTGTATGTGTACGACAGTGGTGATTGCATGAACCACCCTTAGTATATAAGCAACACATATCGTCTATCATACGGTGCAAATTCCTTACACACGACAAGTTACCATAGTGGTCCAACCTAGGC